CCCCCCCCCCCCCCCCACTTCTTCCACCAGTGGTTCCTTCCACAGGTCCCTACAGAATGTAGGAGAGGAGGAGCATGCCACTGAATGCAGCGGGGGTGTCAGATTCCTGGTCCCCAGCCAACCCCCCATTGGTTCCTTCCACAGGTCCCTACAAGGACGTAGGGGAGGAGCGTACCACTGAATGCTGGGAGGAGGGGGGTGTCGGGCCAGGACTCTGACACGCCTGAAAGTGTCGGATGCGCCGGGTTCTGCAAGCAGCCGTCTCTCTGCAACACAGCGACAGATCGGAGATGCGGGAGAGTTCACTACGTCCTGTCGTCTTGGGCAGGGCCACTTTACAATGTTCTAGGGACGGGGGTCACTTAAAGAAAACATTTTTCCAGGGCCCCCATTAGAGAGATTTCAGCTTCTTGTCGGCCTCAGTGACACGGCAGGAAATTAGGGATGGGAACACCAAACAAGGCAGGAAATTAGTTACACCAGTGGGAACACCAAAGCCATAGGAGTCTGACGTATTCTAACCCTCCCCCTTTAAGCCGAATGCCGAGCACTAGGAATCTGGAAATTCGTTTTTTCTTTTAATTTTGTTATTAAAAAAAAAAGAAAAGTTTAACATTTGGAATGTTCTGCAAAATGGATTTTTTACAAAATTAAAATATAATATATAATCTTTTCTTTGTATTCCTTGAGACTCTTTATTTCTGATGGAAGGGGGTATGATGATGATGGAAGGGGGTATGATGATGATGGAAGGGGGTATGATGATGGATGGGGGTATGATGATGATGGTCCTTCCAGGACTGATGAACAATGTAAGGAGGTCCTTCTATCACTGATCGCCAATGTAAGGAGATCCTTCTACCACTGATCACCAATATAAGGAGGTCCTTCTACCGCTGATCACCAATGTAAGGAGGTCCTTCCAGGACTGATCACCAATGTAAGGAGGCCCTTCTACCGCTGATCACCAATGAAAGGAGGTCCTTCTACTGATCACCAATGTAAGGAAGTCCTTCCAGGACTGATCACCAATGTAAGGAGGTCCTTCTACCAATGATCACCAATGTAAGGAGATCCTTCTACCACTGATCACCAATGTAAGGAGGTCCTTCCAGGACTTATCACCAATGTAAGGAGGCCCTTCTACCACTGATCACCAATGTAAGGAGGTCCTTCTACTGATCACCAATGTAAGGAAGTCCTTCCAGGACTGATCACCAATGTAAGGAGATCCTTCTACCACTGATCACCAATGTAAGGAGGTCCTTCTACCACTGATCACCAATATAAGGAGGTCCTTCTACCAATGATCACCAATGTAAGGAGGTCCTTCTACCACTGATCACCAATTTAAGGAGGTCCTTCTACCACTGATCACCAATGTAGGGACTCGGGAGGTCCTTCTACCACTGATCATCAATGTAAGGAGGTCCTTCTACCACTGATCACCAATGTAAGGAGATCCTTCTACCACTGACCACCAATTTAAGGAGATCCTTCTACCACTAAGGGTTCCCTTCTCCACTAATGTAAGGGGGCAATTCTCCCATGTCTTATAGATCGGGGAGATGTTAGAAATGATCCACCCCCGGGTGTCAGAGACTCTAGGTACACCTGGGGAAGGATGGACCATGTGTTCACCACAATCCAAACAGAAACACCCCTCCCCCCCCCTTCAAACAGCTTTATTGTACCATGGACAGTCAAGCTCGATGTCCTCCACCAGGCCGACGCGTTTTACCCCTTTGCTTTGTAACATATCCATGGCACAATAAAGCTATTTGGGTTAAATGAAGGACACGGCGGAGGTGCGGCTGCTTCTGATAGGATTACGGTGGGCGGCAGCTGTGATCAGTTTTAGCGAGGGTTCTTCTGGGGTAACGAGGTTGAGAAAGATTGATCTAAGGCAGGGGCAGCCAAACTCCGGCCCTGCAGCTGTGGTGGAACTACAAATCCCATGAGGCATTGCAAGATTCTCACAGCCACGACTCCCGGCGAGAGTGATGCATCATGGGATTTGTAGTTCCACCACAGCTGCATGGCCGGAGGTATGAGACCCCTAGCCTAGACACTGACACAGGAAGCTGCGCTCATACGCGATTCTTAAAGCGATCACAACTTTTTTTTTTTTTAGTTACAGGCAAAATATTTATTACATTGAAAAAAAAAATAAAAAGTCTGCATCATCGTCCCTCCTGTGTCTACAGCTGTGCAAATTTCCGCATGACGCCAAAATCCCGCCAAGTTTCACCGGTGCTACAGACTGATCGCCCCATTGGCTCTCCTGAACTCACAGGTCTGTATGTCCCGAGTACATTCATGGCGGTTTGATCCACTTCTGGTATCCATGAGAAAATAAGTCCAGCCGCGCGCCAATTCATGGCAAGTATGGGAAGAAGGAGGAAGTGCGTGCGTGCGTCCGTTCGCTTGAATTGTTTCCGAGGCCAGGAAGGAAGCTATCGCTGATTTTGTAGCAACAAAGCCTAGATCAGGAGGACACATTGTGTACATACAGCAGAGGCCGCCATCTTTGCAGCCACGTCCAGAGTATCCGTCCACCGGGATAGAGTGGGTGAAGAGTTAAAAAGAGAACTACAAGGTCAGTGTTCTTTCCCCATAGTTCTCCTCAGAGTCACGGGAGACACAAACTAGCGTCCTCCCATCACCCTAAGCTCAGTATATAGGGAGCTACTGCTCGCGGTATACTGAGACGCCTCAGCTGAAGCGGATCGCGACATTACTGTCTTGATCCGCCCAGCTGCGTGAGTGACAGCTGGCTCTGCCTATGTAGAGGCAGAGCCAGCTGTACCCGCCCCCTCCCCCGTCCGTTCCGCCAGTCAGCGCTGGAGGATCGGACAGGGGGGGCGGGGGAGAAATCCATGGAAGGGAGCCATGAGTGACAGTCACAACTCTCTGCAGGGAGATGATCGAGAAGTGAGCGAGCGCCGGTATGTGTTCCCTCACTTCCCGATCTATTGAGCCGACCTGTGACAGTCTCATTGTCACACGTCAGATTTTCACTCACCTCATAGTTCTCCTTTAAAGGAGAACTATGGGATCAGGGCTTTTCCCCATAGTTCTCCTTTAGGGTAATGGGAGGACACAAACTAGCGTCCTCCCATCACCCTAAGCTCAGTATATAGGGAGCTACAGCTCGCGGTATACTGAGACGCCGCAGCTGAAGCGGATCCCGACAATTATGCCGGGATCCGCCCAGCTGTGTGAGTGACAGCTGGCTCTGCCTATCTAGAGGCAGAGCCAGCCGTACCCGCCCCCTCCCCCGTCCGTTCCGCCAGTCAGCGCTGGAGGATCGGACAGGGGGGGCGGGGGAGAAATCCATGGAAGGGAGCCATGAGTGACAGTCACAACTCTCTGCAGGGAGATGATCGAGAAGTGAGCGAGCGCCGGTATGTGTTCCCTCACTTCCCGATCTATTGAGCCGACCTGTGACAGTCTCATTGTCACAGGTCGGCTAGAACTATGAGGAGGAGAGGAAATCACCTCATAGTTCTCCTTTAACATTCCCCTCGTGTGAAGTGACGTCACAAATCGGGTGAATGTGTCGGGTGAATGTAAAAGTTCAATTTGCAACTAGTAAACGTGGCTCTGTCCCCCGCGGTGACACTTGCACGGGCAGTCGCGCCGTACACACCAGGGGTGGGCAACTTCTGCACTCCAGCTGTACTGCAACTTCGAGGGCTCGTTCACGCCAACTGCGGTAGCTGCTGGAACGCACAGCAATCGCACACTAGACTTCCCCCCATCTGTTCCGGGGCGGGAGGGGAAAAGTTAAAGAGGACTTCTAATAATAAACAGTCTATAACAGGGGCGCCCACAATTTTTCATCTAGAGACGAGCTCAATGAGATCTACCAAGGAAAAAACACCTGCTTTCAGGGGCGGGAGGGTGCTTGGCGGTACATTGAAGTCAATGGCTCCCCCAGCCACACACCCCCGCACTGCGATCGGACGTGTTAGCAAAACATTGCCGGCGTTACGGTCCACTGCAAACGCAAAAAAAAAAAAAATGCTGCATGCTCTATTTTTGGCGTTCGCATTGGACCCGAAAGCATTGTTTTGACACGCGTAGAACCGCACTGCGGGCAGGGGGGGGGGATGCGTGGCTGATGCCAATGCACCACCACGCCCCCTCCCGCCCCAGAACGAAGGGGGAAGTTTAGTGTAGGATTGCTGTGCGTTCCAGCAGCTATTGGTGCGAACAAGCCCTGAATCCCATTAGGAATCGCAAGACTGATAGCTACAGGTATGACTCCCAGAGGCAGACGCATGATGAGAGTGGTAGTTATTCCCCAGCTGGAGGGTCAGTGTTGGCCTACCCCTGCCAGGGTGACCACCAAGGGTGGTGCTGTATACACCAGGGAAACTTCAGCACTCTAGTGGTGCTGCAATTATAAATCCCATGAGGCATTGCAAGATTCTGACAGCCAAGGGCAGGACTCCCAGAGGCAGATGCATGATGGGATTTGTTGTTTCACCACAGCTGCAGTTTGCTTACCTCTGCAAGGGAGGTCATGCCGTATACACCAGGGGGTAGGCAACTAAATCCCATGAGGCATTGCAAGATTCAGCCACAGGTATGACTCCCAGAGGCAGATGCATGATGGGATTTGCCACAGCCGGAGTATGCCTACCCCTGCCAGGGTGACCACTAAGGGTGGTGATGTATACACCAGGGTAGCTTCAGCCCTCCAGCGGTGCTGCAACTATAAATCCCATGAGGCATTACAAGATTCTGACAGCCACAGGGTATGACTCCCAGAGGCAGATGCATGATGGGATTTGCCACAGCCGGAGTTTGCCTACCCCTGCAAGTGTGGTCATGCCGTATACACCACGGATAGGCAACTTCAGCACTCCAGCTGAGCTGAAACTACAACTTCCATGATGCCCGGGCCGCTGGTAGTCAGCCTCATGGGTCTTGTAGTCCCACGACAGCGGGTGTGCGGAGGTTGCCTACCCCTGATGTACACCAAGAGAAGTCGTCCCATCATGCAATGCTGATTGTTTAAGATAACTCTTTAAGAAGTTAAAGTTTGGACCTTGTGTGCCGCTTCCTTTCTGCTGCTTCTTCATGGTAAGTGATTGACAGCGGCTCCGGGGCAGCGCTGTCACGGAAGAGGAGCAGAGGCGCGTTCCGTTCTTGTCCTCTCAGACTCCCTGTACATGCGTGGTAATGGTAGTGACAGCCGGCATCATATATGTCATTTTTATTATACGCAGAGTTACACTTCATGTGGTTAAAAAGGACACTTCAGTTTGCAGACGGTTTGACTTTTTTTTTTTTTAACAGAACCGAAAATCAAAGTACCAGACATCCCCTGCAATAGCAGTTTCAGTTTAAAACCTTACTCCGGATCACCTTATATTTTCAGGAAGAGGAAGCAATTCTGTTAATTGGGGAGATTCAAGATCCAGCCATTGAACTTGCATCGGTTAGAGAGAAGCGTCACGTGACAACAGATCTCGGGGCCAGTATGCAGTCCACGTGAATGACTAAGGGCAACATGGGGGAGGGGAAAAAGGCTTCATTTTATTGGCTCCAATCTTAATAATGATTAAGCTTTTATTTTCACCCAACACATATAGCTTTAAGCCCCCCCGATCATGTCAACATAGTTGGCCACCAGAAAGGACCTCGACAGTTGGCCACCAGAAAGGACCTCAACATTTGGCCACCAGAAAGGACCTCGACAGTTGGCCAACAGAAAGGACCTCGACAGTTGGCCAACAGAAAGGACCTCGACAGTTGGCCAACAGAAAGGACCTCGACAGTTGGCCACCAGAAAGGACCTCGACAGTTGGCCACCAGAAAGGACCTCGACAGTTGGCCACCAGAAAGGACCTCGACAGTTGGCCAACAGAAAGGACCTCTACAATTCTCCTTTTGAGAACTGCCTAGCCGGTATGCTGGTCCTCAAATCACGGGACAAGCACGTAGAGAAGTTCTTCGAACATTCCTTATCTGCATGCTTGTTCCGGGTCATTGCCTCAAAGTACTGAAGCCAGGTTGTCCACCTAAGAACCAGGCAAATGGCATTTCCATTGAGAGTTAGGCAATGGTTGCCCTCTTGGATATCTCCACCGAAGCCACAAGGAGGTAATTTGGGGTTGGATCCTGCTGTAGCTTCATCATGATAAAAGACAAAGCCGATTAAAAACTCCAGTGGAATGGCCAAAACAGGACTGGTGGTTGGGTAATGATCAGGTCATGCCAAACCCATTCAAGACTGCTGTAGATTGATCACATTGGGTGGGCGGGCCTCAGTCAGCTTGATGACGGTGAAGACTCAATGACCTCCATGTCTCCCTCGGCAACCTTCTCCAGAAAAGAGACCAGAGGATCAAACAAGGGTTGCGATTCCACAGAAGCTGGATGGAGCGTCAACGTTGTAACCTCCTCTTCTTCCTCCTCCACCTTCCCCTTAACCTCCTTGGCGTGTGTTCTTTGATGCTTGCGCAAGTCGGAAGGTACTAGGAAGCCTTTGCCGCACTGCTGGCACACGTGGGGGCGTACGTCGCTATGTATCCGCTGATGCTTCTTTAGCCCAGCCTTGTCCAGGAAGCCCTTCTCGCAGTGCTCGCAACGGAAGGGCCTCAGTTCTGGGTGGCTCTTCTGGTGGTTCTTCAGGTCCATCACGCTTTGGAAGGTAATGGCACACTTCTCGCAGGTGGTGGACTCCTCCTTCTTCTTATTAGGCTCCCCTCCATCTGGCTTCATGTGGGTGCGCTCATGCTTCCTCAAACTGGAAGACACGATGAAGGTCTTGCCGCACTCCTCGCACTTGTAAGGCCGTTCCCCGCTGTGGGAACGCTGGTGCTTGCTTAGCCCAGAACGCTCCGCGAACCCCTTCCCACACTCCGGGCACTGGAAAGGGCGCTCGGCGCTGTGGGACAACCGGTGGCGCTTCAAATCCCAAGACGCCACAAACGTCTTATCGCAGTCCGGGCAGCGGAAGGGACGCTCGCCCGTATGGATCCGCTGGTGCATGGCCAAGTCGGCCGGCTGCCGGAAGGGCTTGCCGCACTTGTCGCATCGGTACGGCTTGACGCCTTGGTGCGCCCGCTGGTGCCGTCGGAAACTGGACGGGTCTGAAAACATGCGGCCGCACTGTGGGCACAGGTAGGGCTTCTCACCAGAATGGGTGCGTTGGTGGCTCTGGTAGGACGACAGCTGGGTGAAGTCTTTGTTGCAGATGGGGCATTTGTACGGTTTCTCGGCAGCGTGAATCCGCTGGTGGCACGTGAGGGAGGAGGCGCGCGAGAACGCTTTCCCGCAGTCCGAACACAAGAAGGGCTTTTCTCCCGTGTGGCTGCGTTCGTGGTTCTTGAGGTCTTTCAGTTCGCTGTAGGACTTCTGGCACAGCTGGCACTGGTAAGGCCGGAGCCCAGCGTGACTCCTCCTGTGCTTACGGAAAACAGAAGGGTCAGCGAATCCTTTGCCGCATTCGGGGCAGGAGAATGGGCGCTCGCCAGTGTGAAGACGTTCGTGGATCCGGAGTTTGGAGGGCGTGGCGTAGGCTTTACCGCACTGTTTGCAAGGGAAGGGTAGTTGCCCGCTGTGGGTGGCCATGTGAACCCGCAGGCAGATTGGCTGCATGAAGGATCGCCCGCACTCTTTACACACGAAGGGCTTTTCCCCCGTGTGGCTGCGCACATGGCTCCTCAACAGAGACGCGCTCTTGTAGGACTTATCGCAGTGCGCGCACTGATGGCGCTGCTCCCCCTTCGCCTCTTGCTTCTTGGGCTTCGGAGAGCCAGAGGCCTCCGTGGACTGGTGGGCCTCGCAGTGCCGCTTGGCCCGTGGCTCATTGGGGAAAGTTTTGCGACAGCTCAGGCAGCGAAACCTACGCCCGGACTGTACATAGCTCGGGGTCTCCTGTTCAATGGCCACCTCGACCTCCTCCGGGGGCTCCGCCTGTTCCGAAGACATCGCAGAAGAGACCTGCAAGAAAGAAGAACATCAATGCCGAGGGTTAGAGATCTGTGACGGGTGTATTGCCATCTGTGTCCCTAATGGACAGATTTAATCTCACTTCCTGTCAAAACAGGATGTGATGGAAAAATGTGTTAATCGGGGACACAGTCAAAAAATGAAACCAATTTTTTAGCAGAGTGGGGGGAAGTGTTAGAACTTTGGACAAGGTTTCTGTCTGTTCCTTCCTCTCCCGGTGTCAACCGCTCCCCTCATTGCTTGTTTGGGGGTCACAGTGGTAGGAAGTGAGGGAGCCAATGGGTCCAGGGTGACAGGGGTAAAGTCTCGGGGGGAGCACACCACATACCACCCCTCACTCCACCCCTCACTCTGCTACAGGAACC